TCTCACGGCCCGCTGCCAGGTTATTACATCTTCGTGTTTTTCTTACATGTGATGCTCTTTAAATTCCCGTAATATGAGATGTTCTCATCTCTGAGGCATGAGCGGACTGTCCGTGCTTTCATTGGTTTTGTTTTTGTGAGCGAGTTGAGTGCCAGTTAATTTGAGGCCTTTAAGACTGTATTGGTGACCTCAATTAATCTGAAATTTGGTTTGATATGGACATTATAATTCACAATGGTTTAATTCAGCCATTTGTAATGATCTTCTCCATTTTTCCCCAGGTGTTTCGTATGACAATATGTACTGTACATTGTTTTTGATATAAAGATGGTTTATACAAACAAATAATCTCATAATATGGGAATGTAAAGAACATTGTAATAAATGTCCTTTAAGTTTTTATTTAATAAAATATTTTTTTTTTACTTAAATCACATTTATTATATTGTTCTTAAAATTCCCGTAATATGAGATGCTTTCATCTCTCAGGCATGAGTGGACTGTGTTTTTTTTGTTTGTTTGTTTGTATTCATTCTCAAGTTGAGCAGCAGTTAAAAAATTAAACAATTAAAAAATAAATAAATAAAAATAATAATTAAAAAAAATTTTTTTTTCAATATTAACAATAAAATAATATATTTATTATTATATATATATATATATATAGACATATAGACAAATTGTTTTCATTTCATTCTATTATAATATTTATTTTCTCACTTTTCTGACAAAAACAGGAAGCTTTTAGTGCCATTACAAGAGAATGAAGAATAAAGAGCACATTTTGTGTATAATGCATGCTTTATGCATTTTATTATGCCACAAAGAATCGTGGGAAATGTAGTTATGCATGACTGTCACATCATAAATCAACAAAACGAGTAGTATTTTCTACATTCACAGTTGCTGCTTAGCAAGATCAATACCAGCTTGCTTACGCATTCTTTTATTGGCAAAGTAATTTACAACAACAGCAAAAAAACAGTATTCTTATAAAAAAGCGAGTCTGTGCTTGAAGACATGGAAGGTTTCTGCTTTTCTCATTTAAAGGACATTGAGTAATGTATTTGGTTACTTTAAACAAGTTCTGAAATTTCTGGTGTAGATAAACTAGTCCCGAGTAACAACATTTGCTCTTCACCTCAAAGTGGCATGTTAAAGGACAGTGTTTTAAAACCATAGTTCAACACAACTGACAATTGGCATTTGTCCAAATAATGGGACTGTAGGCCAGTTGAAGCTCTTGAACCATTTACTGAATGACTGTGACCAACTTCCACAGATGAATAGTTTTTTACAATGGATATTGCAGGGGAAAACATTCTGAAGAGGTTTGTTCATTTGAAATGTTGTTGCACAAAGGAAGCTTTGGTATAGCCTGTCCAGTGATATCATCTGTGTTTTTTTAGTAGTAGCCACTATATTGTAGTTGCTGATTGATTGAATACACTGATTCATAAAGGTTTTCCTCTAATCTTCGCTTTTTTGAAACCTTATGACTGATTGAGTTGACTTAATTTGGTTTATATTGTAGCTCCTTGTTTGTGGTCTCAGACTGCTGCAATTATTAAGTCATGTGCTCAGTATTAGCTAAAGTGCTTGCAATAGAGGAGCTTTATAGATTTATCAAATGTTGGCATGGTTTTCTATGTAGCAGCCCAGGGAAAGTTTTATTTCTCTAGCATAGCTCAGGAGAGTTAATTTAGTTTGCTTGTGCTTCATTTAAGACTCAGATTGTCCAGTTTGTACATGTGGGTCAATAGAATTTTTGTGTTTGACTTTAGCATTTAAAATGTTGAGTGTTTAAAACAGCCTATTCTCTGGCTGCCAGTCCTGGTGAGTTTCACAGTCAAAGTCTAGTTTAGACTAGTTCAGTCACTGTGCCGTAATTGTCTGCTTCCTTCCTTTTGCTGTATTGTGTTATGAGGATGTTGAGACGTCACCTCTGCCCCCTGTGCTGTTTCACGCCTCCAGAAGACTCGTATTTGGCAGTGAATCAGGATGAGAGTGTGTTCTGGCAGGTTTGGGAGTAACGGTACACCGTGTTATGTTCCTTCATGTCTGTTAGAAGAAATTCAGACCTTACAATAAGAGCCATAAACAAATCAAAATGACTCAGAGTAGTACAAGATACCAGATCACAATAGTGACAGATATAAAATACATACTCAGATATGGGTATACATAATTTATTCCTGTGATGCAATTTTCAACATCATTACTCCTTCTTTAGTGTCACATGATCCTTCAGAAATCATATATATATATATATTTTGTTTTTTTTGAGCAACACCCATGTTATATATTTATAAATATAGACTAAATGGGTCTTTAATCATGAAAATGCATAGCTGTCATTACGTTTCAGAAAAGACTGACAATTCTGTCATAGAGACTTTAAGTGATGTTGCCTTTCAGAACACTGCAGAAACCACATAGCATTGTCCTAGAATGCACCCTGGCATCATGGTTGTAAATTTTGCATAATGCAAAAATCTACTATTTTAGCCCTCATTAGACACCCAGATTCTTGTTTCTCTCTGAACGTGACACCTTAAGTGGCTGTTGAAAATGGTTGGATATGGCTGCTATTCCTGTTTTGACTACGCAAATATTTGCAATGCATTTCGCTGGGATATTTTTCTGGGATAGCAGTGATTCAGCTGTTTCTGTGGCAAACATTTACACTGGGAGATAGTGAAGAGAGAGGTGGAGACCCGAGATAAAAGATGCACGTCAGCACGGCAAAATAAATCTCTCGGCTTTTTAAGAGCCGAAGAGAAAGGAGTAATTATCAGCCTGTGTGTGTGTGTGTGTTTGTTTAACATGTGAACTGTGAGTGACTGTGCATGTGGACAGTCAGGGCAAGAGATGCTCAGGTTCCTAATGGCCACACACACACATTTGCAGTATCTCTGGGTAAAGGTCATGCGCCTGGAGGAGCATTTGAAGCGCTGAGCCACACCGCTGCCTCTGATTGGCCGGGGGAGGATGCAAGAAAGGGAGCCAGGCTCCGCCTCCTCCCCCCTCCTGCACGTGTTAGAAAGGAGATAGCTTAAGGAGAGCCGACAGCTTCACTGCGCCGAACGCACACTAATGCTGCATACTCCAGGGAGATCAGTCGATGCAGAACAATCTCCAGCTGAAGAACCCAAAACAAACTCAGACTTTAAATGTTGTTTAAGAGCGCTCTGCACTCTGAGTTCAGCCCATCGTCCGCAGTCTCAGCACCACAGCATCCTTTCCGATCGGCCCGGCTGTAAACATGGGCAGGCAAAGCCACGATGCTACGTCCACCACGGGCACGGGTGCAGGCAGCACCGGCGGCCGCATGCAGCGCTCCCAGAGCCGCATGAGTCTGTCGGCTTCCTTCGAAGCGCTGGCCGTCTACTTCCCCTGCATGAATTCTTTTGATGAGGAGGATGGAGGTAAGATGTGTCACGTATGGAGAGGTCCAAATGAGCATCTTGCATGTCAAAGTTCATGCGTTTTTCAGGATATATTGGTGTTATAGAGCATACCAACTGTTTTTAATATTTGATTAGGTTTGTATTTTGCATTTATGGTTTCTGGTGGAGTTTGCATAAGTAATAGGCAGAATTGTGCATGGCTGTCAGTAAAATATTTATTTATGTGCATAAATTGCTGTGACAGTTTTATAGCACTTAATAATTGTGCAGTGCGTTTTGATGGTTTAGCAGGAATCAAGCATCATTGTGACCTTGAAGGTGTTTGATTTCCTTTCTCTACAGCATCTCTCTCTCTTTCTCCCCATTCAGTCGCTCTAGAGATTAATATCATTGGAAATATCATGTGACTTTTCATATCTTGCAGAACAAATACCTTTTGTGTGATGTGTAGGTGCAACCAAATTTTAGTTAATACATTAATATATTCATCATTGAATGAATCTCATGAGAACATGTTCAGGTCACATTTCACCCCAAAATCTTTAAATAAATAAATAAATATTGTAATAGAGTGTTTTTTTTTTTAAAATCTGCATAAATTAAATGCATGAATACTATCATGATGTATAAATACTTTACAAATTAATATATGATTATTTTAATTTATTAATACATTTATTTATTTCAAATGACAAATTTGCTTAATTGTCATGAAGATTGTGTCACTTAATTTAATAGAGATGTTTAAAATTAATATTAAAATTCTGTCATTATTTGCTCACCCTTGTGTTGTTTCAAACTTGTACGACTGACTGACTTCTGTGTAACACAAATGAAGATATTTTGAAGAATATTGGTAAAAAACAGATTTTGTTCCCACTGACTTCTATTATATGGACAAAAAGTACAATGCAAGTCAATGGGAACCGAAACTCTTTGGTTACCAACATTCTTCAAAATATCTTCTTTTGTGTTCTGCATAAAAAAGAAGGTCATACAGGTTTGGATCGACGACATGAGGGTGAGTAAATGACAGAATAATTTAATCTTTGTGTGGACTATCGCTTTAAGGTTAGTTTGAATTGCGTCCTCTGACATTGGGCATCATTGTTTCTCAGGTTTACTGTATCTCGGTCAAGTTCAACAAGAGCACAACCGTGTTCTTGATTGTTATATACGACTGTGCAGTTAGTACAGAAAAGGACAGTCACATCCAGCGCTATGTTCGTCATCCTCTTGTGTTCAGCTACGTCTCAGGGCTGAAAGCAGAGGCAGATGACATTGAATGAAAAGAAAATCAAGCCTGCCGTGTGTGACCTGCGATTGAATGGTTTAATCTCAGCAGCTCAGATATAGATGCAGTGCATCTAAAACAAGAAATTGTTGAATTCATTCCATCCTGTGGGAACAATACCACGTGTGTCTGGACCTTCATATCACACCGTCTCAATCAACAGCACATCAGCTCTCACATCTGAGCCGCGTGTGAGGCTTTGGTTTCTTGTTGGGAGATGTGCAGAAGCGTGTCCTTCATCACTCTGCCTGAGACGTCTTGATATCCTGACTGACAAACTGTCTCTGTCTCTGTAGAAGCAGGAGGAAAGAAGCTGCGCAGCACTATCCAGAGGAGCACGGAGACGGGACTGGCTGTAGAGATGAGAAGCAGGATGACCAGGCAGGCCAGCCGCGAATCCACTGATGGCAGCATGAACAGCTACAGCTCAGAGGGAAAGTAAGTAACAAAACACGTGCAAATAGAACCCTGCTGACAAATATAATATATATATATATATATATAGTAACTTTTACACAAACATGCAAAACACCAGAAAGCAACTGTTTACATAAAAAAATACCCACTTTACAGGGAGTACTCAGAAGCTAATCTACTTACAGCAGCAGTTCTGCTGCAAAAAAGAGCAATTCTGAGGACTTTATAGCTCAAATAAACATTTTTGTACAGTTGAACAAATATAACTCCTTTAACGTGCATATAAGCTGCACATTTCTGCGTTTCCCCTAGATTTCCACTGTAAGTGCCTCACTGTAATGCAAAATGTTTTTCTGTGATAACCAACAACCTGTCACCTGTAACATCATAAGATCAAGCTCTACTGTTTATCTAATCCGAAACCTTTTCTTCTCAGCCTCATCTTCCCCGGAGTGAGACTCTCTTCTGACAGTCAGTTCAGTGGTTTTCTGGATGGACTTGGCCCCGCCCAGCTTGTGGGGAGACAGACTTTAGCCACGCCCCCTATGGGTGAGTTCTTGTTTGTTATTGACTTTCTATACACTTCACTCAAGTGCTTATGTCTCCAGTCGCACTCAAACATTAGTCAATATTAAAACAGCAATGTTACCCATGTGTGGCTCATATATCCTTGATTTGTTCCATGTCTAGGTGACATTCAGATCGGGATGGTGGAAAAGAAAGGAGCCCTAGAAGTAGAGGTCATCCGAGCCAGGGGCCTTGTGGGAAAAACAGGTTCTAAGGCACTGCCAGGTGAGTGCGGTTACACTTTCTGACAGTGATTTCTTAGGCACTTGAATTTCTTAGGCACTCATCACTCATGATTAAACTCTTCTCCAGCCCCTTATGTAAAGGTGTATCTACTGGAGAACGGCGCCTGCATAGCCAAAAAGAAAACAAAAGTAGCACGAAAAACACTGGACCCTCTTTACCAGCAGCAGCTGTCGTTTGAAGAGACCCCAGGAGGAAAGGTTTTACAGGTATAATGTCATCACTAATGCTTTTAAGTACCAGTTTTAGGTTATCTCAAGCTCATTTGGCCAATCTAAAACGGAAGCAGTACCTTTATCAATTAGTTAGTTGTTAAAGTTGACAAATACATTTTAATGGCCAATACCAATCTATAAGGAAAGGATAAAATATACCAAATTTTATACCAAAATATAAATGGTGTATATATATATATATATATATATGTATGTGTCTACAAATTGTAAATAAATTCTATATGTTTTGTATAAAATTTATATTTTTATATTTAATATATATGAACTATATAAAGTGTGTGTGTTTACATATATATATATATATATATA